CCGCTGTGCCACCGACGCACCGTACACATACAAATGCAATCTGAGAAGTGAGATTTAAATATACGGAATCTTATTACCTGGATATATATATATATATACCGATGAAGAGTGAAGCTAGTTCTCTTCCCTGTCGATTAGTACTCATGACAATTATCTAGTCACATGACATTGAAGTGCTCACCAAAATGAACATCTGAGCAGAAGCAAATGAAGATAGATAGATAACGCATGTTGCTGAGGAGACCAACACGTACGAACTACGCAGGCCATTCAATGTGTCCAAGTGCAACATACACAAGATTCACTGAGGAGGAAGTGAAAGCTCCAAGGAGTAATCGTGCAGTCGCCAGCTATAGTGAAGACTGCAGGGAACAACTTAAGTGGTGATGTTGGTTGGTTGGTTACAGGCGGTCTATGTTCCGCCCAATACTTAAGGGCATAATACCAATATATATATATATATACCACTGTGTGAAAATGAAAAATGACCAAAACGATGAAAGGTGATTGAACATTGTACACAAATTATATAGATATACACGAAAATGAAATACTTCAACACTGAGCATGTTATCCCTCTCTGGTGTACAATGAACATGAAGGAAGAAAGCCTTGGAAATTATAAACCAACCACCATTCAATAACTCAGAGAAAACACGCACAAACACACACACACACAACGAAACCACCAAGCCAAATAAAATGCATTTATCACCATGATTCCTAGGCCAAAGACCAAAATGAGGAGGATGATGACAGATAGTGTTTATGCAAACACTGATATAAGAAAAAAACTTGCGCACTGTGGCGGTAGAGTGTAATTCCATTATGGGTAAATTTTCGTTTTGATAAAGTCTCACAGTGTGTTTGTTATACAGTAATGTTTACTGATGCGACCACAATTCGAGCACAATTTATTCCTGCTCATAATCATATCAAGGTACTCCTCACACGACTTCCTAACTTCATTTATATAGTTCCATTATTTTTCACTTCATTTTCGCTTGATTTGATTGGCAGTAGTGTTTTCCATATTTCTGGTATTTGCACTGAATCACTTCTGTTGCATGTGTTGTGTTGTGTTTGGTGTAGACTCGATGAACAAGGATTCAGTGATCAACCTCTATCTCTCTCGACCTACCTAGATTACTTTTTAGAAGCTTAACCCTCTACCACCAAGCTATTGTGTGGCTGTGTGTCAATGCATGCAGTGGAATGCAGTGCTGAGCTTTTTTCTAAATTACTTATCTTCTCGGGGTCAACCATTCTTACCTTAGCTAAATTCTTATGTTCTGACAATCTGACTACCCATGACCTGCTAGTTTGACCTACGTAGTTGACTTAACTCACTGTCATTGCATGGTATTTTGTAAATTATATTAATTTATCTAATTGGGTCAACCTACAAAGCTTGTCCTACCTGAGTGAGTTTGTAGGTTTAAATGCACCAAGCTAATTCTTGCTTTATTTACAATCCTACATAGAGACGGTCTCAGATGTCCCCTCTTTATATGGTATAACTGTGGATGACTTATATTCTCTCTTATTTATGTTATTGTTACTAGTTTCACAAGTATTTTTCTATTTTTTTTTGGGCCTTTTTCGATCTTCCTAATGAATTTTATACGATAGTTGGTTATTTAACACCAACGCCTCTTCTGTCTGTTTTATTTCATCATTTAGGTCTTTTTTGTGCTACTTAGTGCCACTGCTCGGTTTGTTGAACACTTAACTAAGCCTGCTTTCACAGGCAGTTAATGGATGAGATGAATTAAAGTTTAAGTATCTATTAGAATGTGATGGTTTTCTGTAAACACTAGTGTGTAGTTTGCCTTCTTCTATTCGTTTCATTTTACAATCTAACATGCTGGCTAATTCTCCTTGTACATTTACCCATTCAAATGTGAATTTTATTCCCTCTACCAGTGGTTATATATGTGTCAAGAAGCTAGAGATTTGTTCTGTTTTTAACACTGCGTATGAAAGTGTCATCCACATATCTCAACCCCCATATTTTCGAAGCAGTATTAAACGTATTAAGAGCCATGTTTTCCCAGCTATCCATAAATATATCTGCTACGATAGGGGATATTGGTGATTCATTTCATTGCTACACCTTGAGTTTGTTGTCTACATATTTTGCCTTGGAATTTAAAGATAGTAGATGTGAGTGAGGCATAACTGAATTCCCAACATAATTTCTTCAATGGGTAGCTTCGTCATCAGTAAACATTACTGTATACCACACTGTGAGACTTTACCAAAACAAAATTTACCCATAATGGATTTATGCAAACATGTTTATTTGATGATCGACCCCCCCCCTCCCCTCCCCGCAAATGGTAAAATAAGGATCCATATATGGTTGTATATCTACCCGCTGATTGACTAATATGAGTAAGCAGGAAGCTCTTTATCTCTGTGGATGTGCCTCTATCCCTTCCACAATTTTTTTATTTATTTATTATTTATTTTTTTGATTACAGCTTGATTACACACCGTATTTTTGGTACAAGTATGGAATTCTCAGCATGGATATCGAAAGCCCAAATTTTGCAGGCCGACCATAGATATCAGGTGAGCATCGGTGGTGGATCGAACCTCGGACCATGTGCATGGTCGGCGAGAGTCCTAACCACTGTGCCACCGACTTACAGACATACACACACACGGATACATCAACCAGACTGAAATAATAACAATAAGAGACAGACAAGCGCATAAGAAATGGATAAGTGCTTCAACCTTGGTTCACTCTCTTTTTCTTTCAGTGGAGTATGCGTGCGCCTATGATGAATGAAGTGCAGAAATACCAACAAAAAAACAACAAAAAAAGCAGACAGACAAACTGAAAATAATAATTGAGTGAAAGACAAGAATAGGATACTTCTAACCAACTTTTCTTCCTCTCAAAGACATTTATTTACTTAAAAATATACACAAGTTTGAATACAACTCATATAAATATCGTGAAATAAGCGAAGATAGTCAAGTTAAAGAATAACGATCCAAACGAAGAAACTAAAGAAGGAACTCATTAATTGATGAATGACCTTTGTAAGGCGAAATCATACCAAGGTAGTGAAACCCACTATATATTTGCAAAGAGAACAAAAATGGCGAGGATATAAAACAGACTATCATTGTGTATTACTTGTGATGACCTCTCCCACTTTTTTCCTCGCCTAAATTGGCCTACATTGATCCAGTTGGTCATTTAAAGGTTGTTGGTGCGTTCATTCTCACTGGATCGATATTCTTTAACTTTTCCAGAATATAGAGGAATAAGCAAAGGTATCAAATGTGTGTGCGTGTGTGTGTATGTGAAAGAGAGAGGGGAAGACAGAACAGCTTATTGATTAAACACTATTATTATATAACCAGGTATTTAACTGGATACACTTAAAAAAGGAAGGTGAATGAAGCAACAATACGCACACACACACACACACACCGACCCAAAACAATCACTCACGAACTGAAATTTTAGGTGACAGTACACATATAAGGCAATATAAATTATGTGCACACTCACGCATACATGAAAATATATAGGAATATTTCACAAGAAATACACACGAAGTTTTTTAGGTTACTGTTGTATGGTATAGATGAGGATTAGTTACACAATTCTACCTATAATTGACTACCATGAAGTGTTATGACAAGTATAAGATAGCAGTTAGTTTCACCCAATGTACTACAATTCATCAAATCTTAGAAGTTCATCTATGCATTCCCAGAGCGTAGACATAACTGATTGGCTTAGTCTATCACCTTCCAGCTAATCAGTCTTAGGTTTGAAATTTATTCTACTTACATTAGTCCGGGCAAAAATAAATATGATAGATCTACTTTCTACTATGGAAATATTCCTCCTTCTAGTGATGCTGTTTGATACAAAGCTTTCAAAAGAAGAATGACTATAATGTCAATTCCCAGCTGAAACATCTTAATAAGGATCAGTTACTAAAATTACAAATTATTTATAGCATGCGTATTTTTCATACTACAGGTAGGAACCCGACCGTGGTTAATTAGAGATAATAATGGATAGATATGCCACTCTTTAATATTCTTAGAATAGACAGAATAAAACGCCTATCTAGTATTTCCACAAATGAAGCGATTTCTTTCCTCCGTATGACATAAGACTATCTATTTCATTCGATTCAAAATTATATATATATGGGTACATATACATACAGACATATCGATCAATGATAATTTTAACCAATCACAGATGTCGGGCGTATCTCTCATTGGTCGGTTATACATATATAGCCAATGAAACGACGTGAAGGTCATTTCCATTAAATTATAAATACACATGATTCGATACGATACACCCACGCACACACACCCACACGCTACTCGTAGTCAACTGGATATATATTGGTTCGCAAGTGCTCCTCCATCAGACTGTTTCTTTTCCTCACCACATTTATAAATAATAAATTTATCCTGTTTTCGAAGTAAATGACTTCGGTGAAAAAGAAAAAAAGTAAGAATAAAGCACCGAGGAAAGAGAATAGCACTATTGTATATATGATAAAAGCACAAAAAACCCCGCTGACGACAATCACGCAGAGAAAGAGCAGACAACAGCAGCGCCCAAAACAACCGCAAGGAGGCAAAAAGGTGATGATGAGCCAAAGATATACAACAAGAAGAAGAGATATTTATCCAGAGAGGAACACTGTGAGAGAGCCATGAAGAAGCATAGAGTTGTGGCAGGTAAGTACCACGAGTAAAATAATGCTAATAATAATGACACTTGAAAAAGATGGGAGGAAAATGCGACAAGAAATATTTTCACTTCTTTGCTCTATAAAAAATAATAATAAAAATTATACGCATACATAAATATAGATATACTCATATAAAGCAAACACAACACAACAACAGAAATGGGGTATAAATAACAACACTGAGGACAACACTTGAAATCACAGACAGTTTAGTTTGTTTTTTGGTTACATTCGTGCAATGCCACTTACAGCTTGCATCTAGAAAAAATATGTATGTATACATACAAATAATAATAATAATAATGACAATAGTAATAGTGATAATAATAATCATAATCATAATAATAATAGTAGTGATAATGACGATGATTATAATATTCTTTTACAAACAATGCATCAGAGATTGAGATGTTTCATTACTGCTTATTGTAAAGGAGACAAATGAGAGAATAGAAAAAAAAGCGTGATTGAAATGAGTAACAGTCAACATACACACACACGGACAGACATCAGTTGTCCATCAGCTACAACACTACATCTCACAAACACACACACATACATATACATATCTCATAGAGACATTGTGATAGGAACAATTTTTCGGAGAAGAACTATATTCTTTTATTTTCTAATTGAGAATAGAAGGGGGGAGATAGAAAAAACAAGCAGACTGAACAGTCTTCATCTTCGTTTTGGACTACAGAAGGAGTGTATGCAAAAGAAAGATATGTCGACTTTGGCAAATAAATTTATCAGGAGATACGGTCGATGGACGTGACCCTGATCGACTTTAGGGACTTACGATCAATGTGAGTTTAGAGTATACAGATAATAGGATCCTTCTAAACGAAGTTGATGGCAGAAAGTAAAGTGTTCTGAACATCTTGGGCAGAAATCGTAGTGTAATTAGCATGAGATTTAAATGTAAAGTGATCCTGCAAGACTGATCTACACTGATTTGTAGTTAGGGAGTGAAGTCGTTAGACCTGTTGATTGAATTTCACTTGTTTGGGAAGTTGCATCAATTCTAACTAACTGATTTCTGCAGGAATCCCAGCACGTTAGAATTTACGAACCTACGTCATCTCTGGAACAGACATGATAGCCGACCATCAGTGGCAAAAGGTGTGTATTGGGCAGCAGTTGGCTTAATTCACTTCTTTACGGCTGTGATGATATGGCCGTTGAAAGTGGAAGATATGAAAAGACTAGTTGCCCTTGACCACAGATGTTTGGTAATATTATTGTTATTATTCATCCCTTCAGTTGTAAGTGGAACAGAGGATCTCAGAAACACATATCCATTCTACCTTGTTATTGCAGTCTTCTTCAGCTGACTCCAAGAGTGCGCAAAAACTGTTATTTCCTCATCAGATGATCTCGATGTCTCCCTTGGATGACGAACTCCTTGCTTACCATTTGAGTTCTACTCAAGTGTCTGGCATGTGAATGTCTCCACAATGTATACTGAACCCATCTCCACTTCTTTCGACATATTTGTTGGGCAACAGGTTCATGGTTGGATTGCTGAACTTCCACCAGAGTTCCTTGTTGTTCATCCATTTTTAGTTATCCATCTGATCTTTATTATCTAACACGAGAAGTCAGCTGTTGATGAAAGCCTGCAGCAGCCTGTTGGAAATGGTTCCATGACGTGCGCGCCAAGTTTTTGAACCATATAAAGGCGCTGACTAACATTAGCCTTGAACAGGATTCTGATGTTGTTCCTTGTGCTAAATGCTACTGATCTCAAAATTAATTTTCAGATTAATAAACGCCTGTCTTGCCTTTCTGATTACAGCTCTAAAGTCTTCATCTGTGTCGTCTGTATTTGAAACTATGCTGCCAAGTTATGCAGAAGAGACGACTCCCTTCAGGTTTCTCCCGTTGATGGTAGTAATTTTGCTTGTTGTTGTTGATTGGACACAACCACTTGTGTCTTCTCTAAGCTCACGTGAAGTCCCGTCTTGACTACCACTTCTTTCAACGTGCTGGTCTTCGAGTTTATGCGACACCAGGCATAAATCATATCTCTTTTTAGGTGGTACATTACAGTCCGTAATAATGAGTGGTTTGGTGTAGAGTGTCAGGTAAGGATTGTGACGCTACATTGATTCAGATGGTTAGAGCACGTGTTACATATTAGCAAGCAGTACGATTAAGTTGGAAAAAGAGTTAACAATGGTCAAGCCAAAACAATGGCCTCAATCCATAAAATCATTGACTGGTGGTTTGCTTAACATAGGAAAGTAGATGTAGACTGTCTGGCTGGGGTTCTAGAATCAATAGCTAAAAGGCTCAGATGCGTTCACTCTTTGTAATCAACTACATCGGTTAAATTCTTATTATTCTATAAGTAATTAATCTCTCCCTGCATACTTCCGTTTATTACAATTTCTATGCATTTCATATTATGAACAAGAAACTCGATTGTGCAATAAGGATGCGATAGCTACTTGTTCTCCCCAGCCCACACTACTTAAGCAAGAACACACAATGACGATGTTAGCCGCAAAATATATTTTACGCAATCATGCATGATTGGCGTAAAATATCACCAAGGATATTTCAATTAATTTGTAATCATGACCAATAAAATAGTAGGCGTTATTTTACGTAGGCCGATTCTGATTGGTCAGTTTCCAGACTGGATATCGACCATTTACATGGGCGAATCCCAATTGGTTGGTTTCTAGACTGGATATCGATCATCATATAAATTTCTTGTTATACTTTCTTTTTTTTAAAAATAAAATGAGTGCTTGATAACGTCTGGAACAGCCTGACTGATAGAAAATTAATTTACTTACTATTAAAAACGAAGACTAGACAGGAAGATGTCAGTAAGGTAAGATACGAAGAGAAAAGCTTTGAAATTGGTTGTGTTAACATCCGAAAGTATACAAACTACAATTAATACTACAAAGACACCTTGGCAGTTATATCATAAATGAGCATTGACTTTTCCTGTTCATCCCTGCCTCGCTTCCTCTCTCTCTTTCTCTACATGATGGATGACAAGCGTAGACGACTGATTATGACCTTTATATTCACACAAAGTTTGTATCAGCTCCAGAAAAGAAGACGTATAGACCGAAGAAGGGGTAGAAGAAGAAAAAGATAATTCAAACGTAGATAAAGACGAATAAATTTGATAACTCCTCCTCATTATCACTGTCATTCTCACCAACATCCTGAATTATCAATAGTGTGAATAATTCTCACAGTCACAGACGTTCACAATGATAAACGTCAGTATATGACAAAGGATGATAAATAAATACTATTGAGTGTATTAATACTACTATAATAAGCACACAACTAGATTTATCAGAATCGGAATAAAATGATCTACATGCGCGCATAGCACATATTATAATCGTCATCATCACCACCACAGATGGATTTATAAATGCAGATGTGAAATCTATTTCTACTACTACAACAACTACTAATACTACGACTATTATACTTCTTCTAATACTAAATCTAGTAAAATCATTTTTTCAAATGCATATCTTTATTATTTTTAAAAAGAAAATACAAACAAAATATACCATTGGATATCATCAAACACACTTACATTCATTCATTCAAACAAACAAAGTTTTAATTGAATTTTTGATTTTCCCGTCATTTGATTCGACCGAAGTGCTCGGTCTCAGGTTGACATGTTTGTTGGCTTCTTGTGCAGATGCTTCAACGATGTCTGGGCATTTGGTTAATATTTAATTGATGGGTGGTGACTAGCAGTAGAATCCAGGACAACGCACATTTCGTCCTATTTGGGACTCGTCAGCCATTGGATGTACCTGCGTTTCTCAGTGAGTGATGATGTTCCCACTGAGAAACGCAGGTACATCCAATGGCTGACGAGTCCCAAATAGGACGAAATGTGCGTTATCCTGGATTCCACTGCTAGTCACCATCCATCAATTAAACAAACAAAGTGTTTACAGAGTGCGAAAATTAGCTTCAACAGCTACCCCCCCCCTCCACAAACACACATACACGCAATGGAGAATGTTGAATCACACTAGACAGGACTTTAATCGTGTGCTCTTGTTCCCAAGAGTTCTGAAGAATCATTGTACAGAAACAACAGCAGGCCGGGGCTGGGGTGGGGAGTAAGTATAAAAATATATCCTATAGATCGAACTAAGACTGACGTTAATTTACGCATCTGATAGGAAGAAAACAATGGTGGCATGTTGATGGTCAACTGATCGATGATGAAAAGTAAGCTAAGTAGAAACGAAACTGTTGGATAGTGGTAATATGCATTATAGTTGAAATATTAGATATTAGAAAACTTATTCTGAGCAAAGATCTCATGCTTGTTGCTATTGTTAGTGGTCGTCACTAAGATGCATGTGAATTCTTGAATGAATGGATGAATTCATATTCTCTGTAAAAGTTTCGAATATATGCAGTACTACTACTCCATCATGTCGTCATATGACAGGATTGGACACCATGGTGTACCACTGACAACCATGGAGGCATTGTACCCTAAAGTTGTTCTTTTGTCTTGTGTATTGTATTAGACTTCAAGTCAAAAACTCCAAAAGGCGGCTTCTTAGGACAATCACCTGCTTAAAATGTAGGCATCTGCCATCAGGCTACTCAACACAACAATATTGTGTGCAGTTGACTGCTAAATAGGTTCAGAGACGTGGAACGCATTTCCAACAGCCTGCTGCAGATATAAGTATAAAACTTGGGCACTGTGGTAGAGTATAACTCCATTATGGATAAGATTTTATTTTGATAAATCATACACAGTGTTGTACAGTTATATTAACTGATGACGTTTCGAGCACAAACTATTGCTCATAATCATATCAAGTTGATATGAAACGTGGTCATCAGTTAATATAACTGTACAACACTGTGTGTGATTTATCAAAATAAAATATTATCCATAATGGAGCCTGCTGCAGATTTTCGTCAATAGTTTTCCCACTTTCGCTGGCTCTATACTGAAGATTAGATGACTGGCTAGAAAGGAGGAAAAACAAGAACTTCTGGGTAGAAAGAAATAAGTATGGATCATACACACTCTGAGAAGATGGCTGAGTGACATTACACACCAGGCTATTCCTCGAGTGGAACCTACGTCAATCAAAATATTCCGATATCACATTTCAGCATACAGCAAAAGAAGCATAAGATCACCGTCTCCATTCAAAACAGAATGACGAAAGGTTTAAAGACAAAGGATTTAAACGATATATTTGTTATTATTATTATTACTAATATACATACCTGTGTTTGTATACGATTGACACCACGAATCCAAAGGATACGTCCACCAAGTGGCATATCATCACCACTAAGAGATAATGGTGATATTTCATCCTCTTCATCATAAGCTTCACCGACTTCATCAATTGTATCTTTAATGTATTCATCGGCTGCATTCTCATTGGCACCAGCGTGTTTACGACCTTTACGTTTACGGCATTTACACTTGGGTATAATAGCATTTGGTACAGTATTGACAATCTATGCAGACAAGCACATAAACACAGATAGAGAGGCAAAAAGAAGATCAATAAATAGTAATAGTAATAGTAATAACAGTAAATAAATTAATACTATCACACATTCAATAACAAACAAATAGTATTACATTTTGACTAGACACGGAATTCTATCGGTCAGGTGTGTAATGCGGCCACCATTCCAGGTAGCTCGCCATCACAGTGCACACTGATTTGATGATATTAGACGGTTGATGAAAGCGATCGGCTGACGAGTGCCAACTAGCACGAGACCTAGGTCTAAGGCTTCCTGTGGCCGATTGCCTCCAACCGTCTAAACAGTATTATAGTTGTGCAAAAACACATCTATGTCATATGGGTAGAGTAAAACTTGCCTATATATATATAGATCCTGTTTAGATATATATTCCAACCTTGGAGTTAGGTTGACAAAAATAAAAACGAATTGTGTTATTCTCTATAACTACCTGAAGATTTATGCAGCTTTTTCTTCTAATTGGTTGGCAATTCGCCTAAGGTTAAATAAGTTGTCTAATGAGGGGTTATTTCATGTCTAAAATGTAAACTCAATTCAAACATGAGGAAATAAACACTATTGTCTTTGAAGCTATTGACTGAAAATGTTGATTCCAGTTTGTTTTTTGCTCACCATTTCTTATTAATCCTCCTTGACGTTAACACACTTCGACTTAGTTAACTAGCCGGTCATTAGTCCAGACAGAGACAAGGAAGTTTACTCTTGAGACCTTGTAGAACGAAAAGCACTCCCACGTCGCAAAGGAAATTTCAAAGTACAGAAGGAAAATAAACTTGCTTTTCCCTGAAATCGAGAAGACTGCACAATCTGAGGACGGATGATGCCCACTGAGTGGAAGCCTGTTATTGAGGAAGCTAGCTAGTCAGCCGATGTATCCTCTTTTGATGAAAACAAAAATAAGCACAGGAACAGCAGACAATGTGAGGACAATTTATGTCTAATGTCTTACAAACTCAAAGAATTACAAATGAAGACCAACACATTGATGGAAGAAGCAGGCGGCAAAAGCAGGACGCCAAGTGAACATAGAGAAGACGCAGGTGTGAAAGTAAGCAAGCAACCAACCAACAAACCAACAACAACAAGCACTAATCAATATCAACGGAAGAAACTTGAAAAAGGCCACTTCATTCACTCATCCAGGAAGTATCCCCTCCCAACGATAGGCAGAACGGATAAGGATGTCAGTACCAGGCAAGAGATGCCTTCATCAATCTGAAACCGGTTTGGAAATGTTCTACAGTCAGTCAGCATAAAGAAGAAAATTCGGATTTTCAGTAAAAATGTTAAGTATGGGTCAGAAACGTGGATCACGTGTCACCAAAAGCATGACGTGAGGCGTTGCTTCAACTCGTTGAAGGCATCTTGACACTCACTAGTCCATAAAAATTTTCGACCCTGTTCCGTTAAGCGATGTAGGGGTGATGCTAGGGTGGCAAACGCGGGGACGAAGCGACGATAGTATGACGCGAAACCCAAGAAGCTGCGAACGTCTTTACTACACTTAGGTACAGCCCAGTCGGAGATGAGGCGAGTTTTCGCTGGATCTGTCTGGATGCCATCTGGAAAAATGCGGTGACCCAAGAAAATAACTTCTCGCTGAAGAAAGGTACACTTAGACGGTTTCAACCTTAAGCCCGCCGTGCGTAAGCGTTTAAAGACTGTACGTAGGTTATCTATGTGTTCTTATGGGGATTTTCCATGGACAACGATGTCATCAAGATATATTAAACATTGTTGTGGAACTAACCTATCCAGGACAACTTGCATCAGCCGTTGAAAAGTGGCGGGGGCATTACACAAACCAAAGGGCATGGTGCGAAATTCATACAACCCAGTCGGAAGGATGAAGGCAGTCTTTGGGCAGTCGTCAGGGTGTACCTCAACTTGCCAGTACCCAGATGCTAAATCTAACGTGGAGAACCATTTCGAGCCACTCAGTGCGTCGAGAGTAGAGTCAATGCGAGGGATCGGGAAGGAATCACGTCTCGTCACGGTGTTCAACCTGCGGTAGTCGATACACATACGGAGGGATCCATCTTTCTTCTTAACTAACACAATAGGTGACGCCCATGGGGACGAGGAAGGTACGATGATCTTTTTATCCAACATGTCCTGTAGCAAACGTTCTAGTTGGGGCTGATAATGCACCGGGATGCGTCTGGATGGCTGGCGCACCGGCGGATGGCTGCCGGTATCGATACGGTGCTTGACCGCTCCAGTTCGTCCTGGATTAGCCCCATCATCAAACACATCCGCGTATACACCAATTAATTCTAGCATTCGCTCTCGGAGAGGCGCAGGAGCGGATGGGTAAACCGAAATTTGATTTAAGGTGGTAGATATTGGTACCCTTAACGCCAACTGCAGATTTATGTTGTGGTGAGAGCTGGCTGTTAGCCAAAATTGGTGGACAGTAATTTGCGTCAATGTTTATGTCCCCAATAGTGGTCGTGAGAAAAATGAGAACAAAGACTTTGCGTAGGCAGATACAGTTAGCATATAGATGATCTGACATTCAAGAAACAGTCACAAAAGATACAAGGTTAACTTTCACTGAGAAACAACCAATCAGAAGACTGTGTTTTTCTGCTAACAATAATCTATAATATGTACATGAAAATGTATAAATATGTGTTGATTTTCTTAATAAACGATCTGTTTCCTGGCCCTTGTCTTCTGTTGTTACAATATAAACAGCTGCCCCTTCGCTGGCTCCACACTGAAAATCAGATGGTCAGTTAGAAAGAATTAACAAGAAACTCTAGACACGAACCGATCAAGAACCTAGTGTTCAACAAATATTACGAATAAAAATGCAGGTGGATCGAACACAAGCTGATGAGACCATTGAGTGACACCCTTCACTATGACATAAGCTCGAGTGGAAACCCAATGGGAAACAACAAGTCGGGTGTGTGGTTGATGGTGAGACGAGAGAGATTGTAACGCAAAACAATAATAATAACAATAATAAATCTCATGATGAAGTCCTGTGACCAATCAATGAAATCCCTGCAAACCAATACTTGAATATCAATGAGATGCTCACTAGCGACTGGCAATATTCAGGTAGGTAGTTACTTGGGGTTATAGTGCGAAGTCATAACCAGAAGAGTGCAGCAGGTCGGGTGTGAGAACAAATACTCGCAAGCAACGACATTGGCGATATGTCGTTAACTGGCAGAAGTTGGGATTTATGGGTTGGCCACAGGATCGGGGATCCCAGTGGCTCAATGGTCTACGAGCTAGCTCGCTCGCCTTGTAACCAGAAGGTCCTAGGTTCGAGCCCTGGCGGTGGGTGTGTACTGCCGAAGAGTTCCAAACTAGACCGACGAAACAGCTGTCCAATATTTCAGTGCAGGTTTTCCAAGAGTTCTCTAACTGATGTCAGCAGCTTATGATGAAGTCCTGTAACCAATCAATCAAATCCCTAAAAATCAATACTTGAATAATAATAATAATAATAGTAATAATAATAATAATAACAATAAATCCCATGCAACAACAACATCAATTAGAACTATTTTTCAAAACATAAAAAGCTTACTTGACCCCATACAAGTTCACCAACACCAAAGAATAAACACCAACCCCATTGATCTAATTCTAATGGTTTTGTACTGAAGGCATATGAACCGAATTGTATTATTAAAGCTTGTAATAAAAAGGTGACAAACCAAATAATAACAAATAATGGATTTCTATGTAGTCCACTGAATACATTTCGTTGCCCGTGTATTTTTCTAGCATTGAATTCATTGAATAGTGTCATTAAAACTAAGGTATTAAATATCAGTGTATAGTGTTGTGTTGGTTCATGAACAGTTATCCCAGTCACATTATCAACTTCCATGATTAAATCAGCTGTAATTTTAAAGAAAGAAAGAAAGAAAATAAAGCAATAAAAGTTAGATCAAAGGATTAGCTTCAGTTAGAGAAACTAATTAAAAAAAACCAGTGTTTCGTCCTAATTTGGGACTCTTCATCAATAAGCTCTCAGAGCTACATGAAAGATCGGTCGAATCCAGGCCATTCAGGTTACGAGGCTTGTTTATTATATTATGTATATATAGCCCAAAACAGCACGGTATCCTGGATGATTACGAAGTTTCAGATACAAATTATTGTTAGTTTTTTTACAAATAATCACACATCACATCACGTCAATTAGAAATACACAACTTCAAAACTTCCCTTTTACAGTCCTCTTTATTCCGTCCTACTCGTTGTCAGCGTGATGGTCAGATTTTCCAGATGTCCAGGAGGGGGTGGAAGCTGTGTTGAATCGCTTTCATTGTAAGTACTAACAGTTGATTCGATAATGAATAAAGCTTCTGCTATCAATCTTTCCCTCCACTCTGTTATATTAGATTTTACAACTGTCATCTTGTCGCACTCTGTTCCATTGTGTATGGTTGTGTGTGTGGTGAATTACATGTGGTGGTGAAGTGCTATAGCTGGACTATTAGCCAAATTTCTTATCTTACAAGACTAGCGAGCTCGTAGACCATTGACCCACCGGGACCCGATCCAATAGTTCTTGAATTCTAACTTCTGCCAATTCACGCATGAAGTATCGCGACCATTTCAAAATGTCTTCTTGTTCGATGAGTTACTGCCTCATCTTCAACCTGTTGTACCCTACTGGTCACGGCTTCCCAACAGAACCCAGGTTAACTGCCTACCTGAATAGGGCCAGTCTCTGGTGAGCATCAGATTAATTTTCAAGTATTGGAATTGTAGGGATTTTGTTTGACTGCATGCAGGATTTCATCATGAGCTGAATTCCTCCATCCTTGAGTTGATGTATTCTTAAAATCTGTTTACATCCTGTGTGTTTTAATTGGTACGGTGAGTGTGTGTGTGTGTGTGTGTATGTGTCATCTACATACCTTCATCATACTTTGAAAGTGGAGCGTGAAAGTTTTAATAGTTAACGTTTCCCACCTATCCAGGATTATTGGTCATGCCACGACAACTCCTTCAATCCGTTTATATAGCAGCAATTCTAAGTTGTTGGTCAGAAATGAGTTTGTTAGTTGACGATGATAAGGTAAGAAATTTGGCGAATAGTTCAACTATAGTCCTCCACCACCACATGTAATTCACCACACACACACACACACACACACACAACACAACCATACAAAATGTAACAGAGTGGACGGAGAAATTGATAATGGAAGCTTTATTCATTATCGAATCAACTGAAAGTACCTACAATGGAAGCGATCCAACACACTTTTCCACCCTCCTGGACACCTAGAAAATCTGATCAGCCCCGACGACCGATTGGATGGAATAAAGAGGACTGTAAAAGGGAAGTTTTAAAGTGGTAAAGTTCTAATTGATGTGATGTGATATGATGTGTGATTGTGTGTAGAGCAAAATAATAAATTGTTTTCGAAACTTTGTAATCAACTTGGGAATAATACTGTTTCCCAATGACGTCTAATATACCTAATAATAAACAGATGAATAGGGAATTTAATTATTAAATTAATTACCACAGTATCGCATGACTTACCAAAAAATAATAAGAAAAAGATAACAGCCAACTGGTATAAAGAATGACCAAGTATATTTTTAGCCATCTGTCTACTGATTAACGGTTGAGTACGTCCGTAGGGTGCACGGTCGAGTAGTTCAGGAGATGGTTGTTCTGTAGCTAATGCTAAACTAGCCAATGTATCCATAATCAGGTTAACCCATAACATTTGTATAGCTTTCAATGGACTATCCTATAAATGGAAGAGAAAGGAGGGTGAGGAAAGGAGTAAAGAGAGGAGAGATTAAAAAATGAGGACAGAAGAGAAGTGTACAGCTAGCTTGATGATAAATTCGTTGAAAAGAGTCTCTTCGCTGAATCACTTGTTTTGATTTTCAATATATGTTACACAATGAGAGTTTTCCATGAGTTAAAAAATGTTGAGTAATCTAAATAAATTTAGAAATAGATTTATTTAGAAATGATCTTAAATTATATAATAAGCACTGATTTAGCCGAATTATTACCATTATTATTATTATTCCCTTAGGTTCCCAGTGGAACCTGAAGTTATGTTATCTGTAGTCCTCTCGATAGCTAACTCCACGTCTGCCCATAAGCTTTCAACTACTCCCCCAGACGATCTTCTTCACATCACTCTCGACCCCACAACCAACTCATTGCTAACTATTTACCTTTCACAATTAAGGGGGATCTCGCTGGTGCGTGACTTTATTCAACGGTCTTCTAAGTGTATGTTCAACAGCATCCTCATTCTCCTTGGCACATTTGTTAAGCAGTAAGTAGATCAATGATTGAATCGCTGGATTACCAGAGACCCACAGGTTGCTAATATTCCTTCTCGTTAACCATCTGATCTTCAGTCGGGAGCCAGTGAGGGCAACTGTCGATACAAAATCTGTAGCTGGTAGCTGTTGGAAACGATTCTGGTGATGTGCATGCCAAGTTTCTGACGCATATGAAAAAAAAAAACTATAAACATGCGTGTGTTGAAAATCTTAATTTTATTGTTTATACTCAATGCAATAGATTTCCCAGCTGATTTCAGAACGATGTCTGTCTGTCTGTCTGTCTGTCTGTCTTGCCTTGAAATCGTCCTTCCTAGCCAGATAAGTAGTGAAGGAAGTAAACTCTGTCTTCCTTGTGTTCATCCAGAGTTCGGTCTTCACTGCCGGCCTCTCATGCCAGTTTGTTGGTTTTCACCTGCAACATAAACCACCCACGCGTGAAATCCAGATATTCAAGAGTCTTCTTAGCAATGCAGCGTATTCCTGTCTTCTCTCTCCCAAGTACAGTCTGATGCATAATCAAGTCCACCACAATTAAGAACATCATCGGTGATAATAGGTAGGTAGCCATGTCTTACTCGTGTATTCACTTCTAATGCCTCGCCAGTAGAACTAGACAGGCAAGGTTTAAGGAGTGAGGTGAACATTCTATCATCACCATTCAACGACCGGTGCTTCATTATATTGACGAACTGTGTGTGTGTGTGTGTGTGTGTGTGTGTGTGTGTGTGTGCAGATTTCTGGTGTTACAGAGATAGTGATTATTACAATTGAGCAAATAAAAACAATTCACCAGAAAAAGTGAAATGTTTAATTTACTAGCTACTTATAAATAATTAGTAGTAAACTTTAAATGATTAAAAAATGGTAGTAGAAGGGAGACAGAGTTCGATTCCCAACTGATACACTCCTAAACCTGTATATACTGCCAGTTAGAAGCCTGAAATGGAGGTAAAGTTGTACACCAGTGAGGCTAACAACACCATCCTCTCCCCCACTACTGGAATTACAAAGTCCCAAGCTTGAAGCCCACCTGGAATACAAAGGAATAAAAAAAACAAACAGCAATAACAACTTAGTATAAAAACAATTTGTACTCACATCTAAAAAGCATGCTCCAGCGAATGCTACAATAATAGCGACACAATTCACGGTTAACTGAAATTGTAGAAATTTTGTAATTGAATCGTAGACATTACGACCCCACATAACAGCTTTAACAATACTTGAGAAGTTGTCGTCTGTCAGTATAATATCTGAGGCTTCTTTAGCCACATCTGTACCAGCTATTCCCATAGCGAAACCAACATCAGCACGTTTCAACGCTGGACCATCATTTGTTCCATCACCAGTGACAGCAACAACTTGACGTGATGGTGCTGCACGACTGTTGATAATACCACCGACTAAGGTGTATTTATCCTTTAAAAAGACAAGTAGAAGAAGACACAAAATGTTACTTGGGAGATTTCAATATAGCGAAAAAAAATTCGTCCAGACATTTAGAAGACAAAAGAATATTTGAGCAAACCTAGAGAATGCGCCTTTTGGAAGATGCAATTAATGTGGACTAGAATTCTACTGTCGGTACATGGAGGATACATTTTTAATTATCAAAATTGAGGACAAATTTAACGACGTTCACATACTGCAATAAATTTTACTGCTGAGAAAGAAAGAGACTCAAGTATTTTATTCCTAGACGACATCCTTATGACTAGAAAAGAGGGTGGTACAATAAGAAGAAGAACTGCATATAGGAAACCTACATCAACTGCCTGTCAGTATACTCATTTTTTTCAGCTTCATACCTTTAAAATACAAATGCAATCTAATAAAGTGCTTGATCCACCACAGAGAAAGAGCAATCTGCTCTGATAAAGGGTTGTTGAGTGAGAATGGTTATTCAAAAAAAATAATAAATCGATAAAAATATGAATCAAAAGCCAGGGGGCAAGTCAAAATAACAACAGTTCCCTAAAAAAGGCCTGAGGAATGCGGTGAAAAGAGCACTCAATGCCTCTGAGCTATGCTGCCTCTGCAAAATCACCCCTATTCTATAACTGGGAGTTAAAAGTCAACTACCTAATTAAGGCTCTTTCTATCTATGTGTATCTATCAATTTGACTGCTTCTGTGGAACTAGTCACATAGGCTGTACAATTCGACGTGTTTCTTTTCGAATTTCAGAGAACACCATCCTGCGTGGATAAGTAAGGGAAAAATAAAGTCCATTCATATTTTCATATCTCCGGTGTAGAGTGAATTCTGTCAGTCAAGTTTGCGATGTGGCCACCATGCCATTAGGTGGCTCGTCATCACGATGCACTCTGAATTGTTCATAATATATTGGTTTGAGGCAATCGGTCCCAATAAGCCTTTGACCTAGGTTTCGTGCTAGTTGGTTCTCATCAGCAAGGTCTATCTGCAACTTTTAAGGAAATCATGTCTCACATTGTCAATTTGACTGTCTGTACTAAACAAAGGGCTAGACAAATACATTATACTAGTTACTGATGAGGTGTCCAGTCAAAAATATCCTATACACTCCTACAGGACATCAATCGCCAGTCAGTCCGAATAGCTCAATGGTAACATCTCTGACTGACTGCAGGTAGCATTGGGTGAAGCGGATTAAAATCTCAGAGGAGGGACATGGGTTCCTTCAAGGTGATTGCAGATACGCCTTCTGGACATAGTGGTGGTGGTGAGTGTCAACTAGAAGGAAATCTAGTTCGATAGCTTCCTGTGGCCGATTGCCTCCAACCATCTACTAACACACAGAATACTGTACATAAATTCAACATCTTACGCATCACTACCACTGTCGTAGATGTGTGTGTGTGTGTCTACGAAAATAATGAAAGCTGAGAAACCCATGAATAAGACTATGAAAATAAATGTAAACAAGTTGAACTACTTATGAGTAGACAAAGAGCATTTCCATAAATAAAAAAAGCCAACAGGATAAAACAATGCGATTTATTTATTTATTTGTTTCCAAATTACAGGAATAGTGCGGATTTTGGATTAATTTTAGTTATTAGATTCTCATCATGAACCAACCCATCTGTTAAAAAGATTATTGGTAACCAGATGGAATTCGACAGCTGTTTCATCGTAGTTTGGTACTCCGAAATAGTGTACACCTACGACCGCTCTGGAAATCACTGATGGCTACTGGGTGAATTTCCTGAAGCTGTGCAGTGAGAAGTCACGACCACTAGAGTTCAACATGTCAAGGTGTGAAGTGGATTCGCAATGTGAATGGATTAGTGAAGACGATGCAACACCAAGAGTTGACAAAATAGGAATTCACTAGTCACTGTATTCGACCACTTGAGCTAGTGGCCGAATACTATTCAACGAGTTTAGTCTCCTAAACTGCAGACTGTGAGTCCATTCCCTAGTTGTTGGGTCATAACTGCACACTACCGAAGAATCCTAAAATGGAGCGAAACAGCTGCCCAGTGATCCCAGCTAGTTTACAATGATTTCCCCCTAAGTGACGGGTTGGTTGATATAAGAATAAAACTTGTGCACTGTGGTAGAGTATAATTCCATTATGGGTAAAATTTGTTTTTGATAAAGTCTCACAGTGTTTTATACATTAATGTTCACTGATGACGTTTCAAGCAGTAGCACTAAGTAGTACATAAAAGACCTGAATGAGGAAATAAAACAGATAGAAGAGGCGTTGGTGTTAAGTAACCAACTATCGTATAAAATTCATTAGGAAGATCATTAAAGGCCAAAAGAAAAATAAAAATAATTGTGAAACTAGTAACAATAACATAAATAAGAGAGAATATAAGTCATCTACAGTTATACCATATAAAGAAGGGACATCTGAGACGCTACGTAGGATTCTGAATAAAGCAGGAATTAGAGTGGCTTTCAAACTCGCCAACAAACTCACTTAGGTAGGACAAGCTCTGTAGGTTAAAGGACCCTGTAGGTTGACCCAATTAGACAAAATACTATAATTTTTAAAATACCCTCCAATGACTGTGAGTTAGGTCAACTACATAAGTCAAACTAGTAGGTCAGGGGTAGTCAGATTGTCGGAACATAAGAATTTAACTAAGGTAAGATTGGTTGACCCTAAGAAGATAATTTATTTAGAAAAATGCTCAGCAATTGCACTTCAAGCATTAACAAACAACCACACAATAGTGTGAGTGGGAGAGGGTTAAAATTCTAGGTGGAAAGAGAGGTTGATTACTGAATCTTTGTTCATCCAGTCTAAACCCAACACATGCAATAGAAATGTTTCATCACTCATACCCGAAATATGGAAAATGCTACTACCAATCAAATCAAGTGAAAAATAATGAAGTTAGGAAGTCGTGTGAGGAGTACCTTGATATGATTATGAGCAGCAATTTATTGTGCTTGAAACGTGGTCATCAGTAAACATTACTGTATAACAAACACACTGTAAGACTTTATCAAAAAGAAATTTTACCCATAATGATGGGTTGGTTCGTGAAGAAAACATAACAGTTGAAATCACTTAAAATCACCGGAAATACCCATTGAGTCATGTAGAAAATAAAAGAGAATTCATCAGAGCAGGAAATTTTCTTTATCAACGAAATCATCTTCCTTCAGAGACTGTGTACACTCGTATTTATATTTACCAAAAACACGTACAGTAGTCCATTTTTAAGTAATAGAGGGGGGGGGGTTGGCGGGTGACATAATCGTTATAATTACTCAGAAGTAGTTTCAAAAGTAAAAACAGAAGTTATAAGTTACGCAATACTCAATGGCACAAAGGAACAAAGAGTTAGAAATTTGATAAATTAAATCTGTTAGTGAGTGAGTAAAAAAAGGTACTTGAGTGTCCATTTAACAAGTGTGACGTGAATGAGAAAATGTACAAAAAGAACATGTGAGGGTGATAATTGTGAATTAATCATTAAAGTAAAAGCAAACTATCAGTAAAATTGAGAATTAAAACTTTTTTTTACAGGAAACGACTAGTGATGAAGAGGTTAGGACCATGATAGAATAAGAGACTGGACAGATATTTTCTGTACACAGAGTTCGCGGTTGTTGTGTATTGAAGAATTCCCAACACATCCGTCGTCATACATAACATAAATGCTGAAACCTGACGCCCTTTGTACCAATATGACTAGCTCCACAGAAACAAGTGAATTTATAAACGCACATTGAAGTGGCTCGTCCTGTCTGTCTGTCTGCCTGTTTTCGACATAGAACTTTGCACTGATGTGCAGCAGTTCAAATCGCCACACTCCATGAAGCGCACAAAGTAAGAGAAGTAAGTAGAAGAAATGCATGAAAGAGACAGTAAACAGAGGTGTGAGACAAAGGAATAGTAATAACGAAGAACAATATAGTTTCATTGGAAATCATAAGTCACAAGGAGTGGCTGTATCTACCCCAGCCAGCCATTGACAACGATCACTTTGAGCCATATCACCAATTGTCTCCAGACTTCATTGGTGATTACCGTCCCAAGGACCCCAACCAGGAAGTCTACACCTTCCTACTTGGCTGGCTTAAACTAACTGTTCTGAATTTCACTGATTGATGGAGCCATCTTTTGGCTTGATCACCACTGGCTGTCTCTTTTCCAGTCTGACCCTATGTCAGCTAAAATTGACCGTCGAGGAAGGCGATGGCTAGGCGCACGTGACACATGTCCTAACCATCTCAATCGGTGTAACTTCACAGTCTTGTTGATTGATTTTCTCTCCTTACCTAGCACTCGACCGAAGCCTAACCTCAATATCGCTCACCCTATTATTATACCATTTCACACGGAAGATAGAACACAAACATCTATGATCAAAGACAACTAGCCAGCCTTTTCATATCTTCCACTCTGAATGGCCAGGTCTTAGAACTAGCCATAAAGTAGGAGGACAGAGAGAACCACTGAGCAATACACAAGCCCTTTGGTCAACAGCCAGCTGGACATCACGTCTACGCTAGAGACGGTGTAAACCGACATATGCGAAACTAGCTCTCTGTATCCGTACTGAAATTTCGTTAGTGATCAACCCACTGGCGTTGGCTGATGCAACTTCCCGAATAAGTGAAGTGGTCAACACACTCCACCAACCACTTCACTCCATATTTCTAAACTAGGAGTCAGTGTAGTCCAGTCCTGTAACATCATCTTACATTTGACAGAGGGAGAGAATCGCGTGGCAAACATTCGAAGATTGCAGCTGATGGTGTTCCGAAGACTCTGCTCCGTTTGTCAGCGTCTTCACATAGAAGGACCATATAATCTGCATCTTATTTCCTGCCAATCCCTGAGTCGCTGAAGTGAGGCGGTTTATCCTGCACACATCCATTTACCATTTGTCAGCTGTAGAAATTTATCTGTGGCTCGGCCGCAAAGAAGGCTTTCCTCAGTGTTCTGGATAGTCAGTTCGTCAGAAT